GTTAAAACTGGTTTAAGGGAGAATTTCAAAAACAAATATTAACAGCCATTAGAAAGACTGAAATGAATTTACAAAAACATTTGTCAATATGTTTCATTTTTTATTAGAATTCTACAGCTTTCCAAGTTTTAAAATCAAAGTCGGTGAAAGGCCGAGATAACCTGGAAGGATACACTCAATGGGACAGTAATCATTTTTGTCTGTTTCACTGGCTTCATAAGTTTTCCTGACATCTGCTACCAATGAATGGGTGGGAGCTCTTATAGAAACTCAAATTAGTTATAGAATATAAAGTTATATTTTCTTTGTGTATTTCAGAAGTAATATATTCTTTTTGCAACTCTGCATGTTGTCACCTTCCAGAACTATTACTACCACCTACCATTGACACCTATTTGAATTGGCTCACATTCACATACCGCAGAAGTGAAGGGTCCTAACTCCGATGAAGTGAGAAAAACTCTACCCAAACTGAATTCAAACCTCATTAATATGAGGAGACCCCAAACCATAGATCCTCAGTTTACAACAATTTAGGAAACTGCCCTTTTGTTTTAATTGGATTGCCTTTTTCCTAGGATTCAAATTTAAGATCTGTTTGTGATTCCATTCTGTTCATTCATCTATCCAGTCATCTAGCCTTCTAATCACTAATACTAGGAATAATTCAGTGACTTAGTATTAATGCTAGGTCACTGGGATAACCTTATCACAAATTAGCAGAATATTTCTAAATCCTCTCACCTACACCTTTCCAGGCAGCTGTCTTCTGATCCAGGAAACCAGCATGGCATCCTGTGGAAGTAGCAGGGTGCTGGAGAGAAAGGAACTCAAACTTGGTAGTTCTCCCCCTCTTTGGGCACATTATTCATTTGTAAAATATGGTGACTTTGATTCCCACCACTTCATGAAATTGTGATAATTAGGGATGCACTTGACAAATGTTTAATCGCTGGGTGCAAATTCCTTTAGCGTGCCATGTCACCATTCCATCTGTGACTCAGGTTCAGGCCACATGCCTGACTCTCTCCCTCGCATTTACATTCTTATTTTATTTCCAGGCAGTCATTCATGAAAAATTTCATAGCTCAGCTCATTTTGATTGGTATTCTAGAATAATATCACTCATTATCTCATAATAATGTTGTAATAATTAATATTATTTTAATGGCATAATCACTGCTAACCTTTTTATAGCTCAGCTGCTGTGGGCTGTAATTATTTAACTTTTTAAAACTTTTTCTGTATACCCATCATGAATGACTTTATCTATTCTTATAGCTGTAAATGTTTATTGAGCTATCTTTAGCAACCATTTAAGAAATTACACAATCTCTTCCAGATCCTGGAAGCAGAGAAAACACTTGCTAATTTATTCTGTGAGATCATCCAAACAGAATCAGATATAAGAAAGGAAAATTTCTTACCAATGTGTCTTATGAACATAGATCTTAAAATCCTCAACAAAGTATTAGCAAATGTATTCCAAAAGTGCACAATTTTTTCAAAAACTTGTTATTCCATCCAAACACCAAATTATCACATGTTCTCAAAGAATCCTTCTTTTCCCCCATACTGAAAATATGATTGCCTAAAATAATGCTGTGGGGTGGGAAAAACAATGAAGATGACAAAGTAAGAAATATTGCCTCACTTGTGGGTAAAATTCAATTACCTAATTTTTTGCCCAGACTTTTTAAAGAAATTAAGTAAACCTATTTGCCAGTGAAATATAGGTCAACTAAATTAACTGCTGTTCTATTTTGTTCTATAATAACTCAGTTAAAAATGCTCGTGAATATGAACTGTTACCAAACATGACTTTGGGACAAAAAACATCTGAAAAATTCCGTTAAACTTGATGTAAATGATATGCTTAATGATTATTAAAAAGATTTTTAGAGCAGAGACTGAATAAAGAAAATTGTAATCACCATTATCTTCACAGAAGGTGAGCAGGGGCATTTTGCTCTAAGGAAACTGATATTTATTAAGCATATGAACTTCAGGAGATATATTTATAATCATTATAATTTAATCTTCCCACCAAGCCAATTCGATAATGCTGTCCTAAATGTGACAGAAGAGGAACTAGCCCAGTGTGGATTAAATATATTTCCTATAGTAACACAACTAAGTGTAGGACAGTGGTATTAATTTAGGAGTAATAGCATCCAATGAGAGCCTGGCTCCATTCATTAATGGAGATTTGGAGAAAGCATTTGATATTAAAGAACCCTAACATACACTTTCTTCTGTATTGAAGCTGTTTTGTTACGGAATGTTTTCAGGTGTAAGCAGAATATTTGGCTCACAGTTGCTTAAGCAAATAACATCTTCCCTCTCTTTCATATGCTCACACACATTAAAATTATTTTAATGTTATAATCACGGTTAACCTTTTTATAGCTCAGCTGCTTTAGGCTATACTTATTTGTTTATTTATAACTTTTTCTGCATCCTCATGAATGAGTTTATCTATTGCTATAGTTGAACACACACATTCATACAAAAACAGTAGGAAGGCAGTCTGGGGCAACTGAAACTCTAACAACGTCTTGTGGAAATAGGGTCCTGTTTTCCTGTTCTACCATCCTTATTGCCTGGAATCTTGTCTTGGCCCCTTGGCCCCTAGTAATAATTAGACATTATATTTCTGTTTAAGGAAGGGCATACAAGGGTAATGAAGCAAAGTTTGAACCTGCTGAATCTATTTTTGTTTTGTCTTGTTTTAGTCAGGAAAGCAAAATCTTTCTGAGAAACTTCACAAGCGACGCCATCTGCTACTTCGTAGTACATGATTATTTGGAGACAGCTCTCCATGAGTCTTTATGCCTTTGTGTCTCTGCAGAGGCGCTGACAGTGTTTTGTTCTTCGCAGCCTTTCTAGGTCTTCACAGGACAAGTGGCCTTGTCAGGCTGTCCCAGAGCAGAGGCAAGCTGCTGTGTGGTCCAGTAACGTCAAGATAGCGACTCCTTCAGGGACAAAGGGCAGGCATCTTTGCTTGGTCCCTTGTAAAAGGCTGAGGTTCCCTAAGCTCAGAGTCCCCTTTTATAATGCAACTCACTGGGCGTGTAGGATTCCACTGCCTCTCACTGTATTGCCTGCGGGAACTGAGGTTTGGGGGGCCTGTGAGAGGGTCTCCATCCCGGCACCCTGACAGCCTTGCCCGTGCCCACAGAGGCCGCTCAGGCCGGGCTTCGCTGCCGCTGATCGACGTGGTGGCTGAATGCCCCGTGACCTGGAAGGTGAGATCATGAGAAGTTTGTGAAGAGCTGTTACGAGGCCATTTTCCACTTGCCTCCCTGCTCCCCTGGGAGGCTGGCGTGAGACTGTTTTTCATCGCCTGCCTTCCAGCTTCGGATGAGCCGCGAGGCTGTCTGCCTTGGCTTCCTAGGGTTCAGCTGTAGGCTCTGAACTGCTTAGCCGCAGCGTGACACCGACCCTCAGCGGCGGGGCCTCCCACGCTCGGTGTATTGTCATCTTTCTGTTTCCGTCTTATCCTAAGGCACAAATGACACAGAAGCAGGCACCTTTGCTTTTCTTGATTTTTGCTGTCTATGTAATAAATAGTCTTAATTTTTAAAGGGCTAACCCTTTCTTTACTGGCTAAGTTTTTCAACCATCAGCAGGAAAAAATGATGATAAAACTGTGATTACTGCTGTTGTTGTAAATAATAACTGTACATTGTCTTTGATCCAGAGAGCAGTGTCTCCCACCAGCATCCATGAAACTATGACAGGCACTTTTGTTAGGTTGCAAATAGGGTAAAAGGTCAGAGCTTTCAGAGCTCTTGACAATGACATTGGCTAGAACTGTGTCACATGTATAGTAAGTCCAGCTAGAACATGGCTGGGAGAAAAGACTGTTATACAGCTTGAGTCCCCAACCAACAATGTCTACCATATAAAACTAAACTCCTGTAAGCATAAGAGATTAATATAAAGCCCTATGTTTAACTAATAACATGCTTAAGACATAAAGTAAAATTCACAACTCTCATCATAGTTTCTTAGGCAACACACTACTATAGCTTTACTTAATTTCCTTACCTGACACCTCTTTAAAATAAAGAAACACTATTTAAATTATGTAAATAGTTGACTATTTTCAATAAACAGACTCTAGAGGGGATCAGGAAATATGTTTCGGAGCATTTAAATACTCTGGGTTCTTTCCTCGTATGCTTAGGAAGTCATTATCTGTTGAAGTCAGGAGCACTTAAATTGTTTTGAGACTTTAAAATACAGATGTTAAAAAAAGTTATTAGTTTAAAAAATGATCCTTTTAGGAGTTGAATGTACTTCAGTGCTAATTATAACTTTTAATGATTGTAAAGTGCCCTGGGAGACTTGAATGGAGAAGATTGAGAGACTACATTTCCACTGTAAATTTTCCTTCCCATACACAGTGTAAGGGTAAAGAAAATGTGTTTGAACACCCAAAGGACAGAGCTAATTGTATAAAGTTCAGTAAATGCTAACAGTTTCCCAGTGACCCAGGAGTCACGTAAGGGAATTACAGACACATGTTCTGAGAAATCTTTGGCAGTATTAGTTTTCTCAAGTTTAAAAAAAAAGGGGCTGAGAAAAATTTAAACAATGATATTGCTTGCTTGGTCTATAATAGATGTTATTTAAATCAGAAGTACTTGGAAAAGACACTGTAATTTGTGATTCTATTATGGGAATTAACTACTTGCTTCTAATTGACTTTCTGAAAACTTTGTGATTTGCCAGCAATATACTCGTAAATTAAAATTACTCACAAAATCTTAAAAGTCAGGGTCACGGGCACTGTAAATTTACCGGTTACCTAATTAGTTGTCAAAATACTGTTCCCTGAAAACATTATTTCTGGACCTGAAAACTTTATTTGAATTGCTCCATACAATGGTTCGTTTGAACTCAACCATTTAACATTCCGTTCTCCAATTCTTTGCTCTCTTGTGGTTGCTGCAGTTCAAGAGGCTAATGGTGCCATTTCTCTTCATTGTCAGCTATGAGCATCGCATTATGGGTAGAAGAATCAAGTGCTCTTCCCTTTGGAAATCGAGCAAGGCCTTTTACAAGGTAAGCTCTCTCTTCCATATCATTAAAAGGCTTGTCCAAATTAGGTACTTCATGTCCAAACCCGATCAGTTCAAGTAAGAAATGTTTATTTTCTGCTTTGTCTCACCACTGAAACACGATTACAGATGGGGCTTTGGTTTTTCCCCATATCCTTGGGAAATCCCAAGGAATGGCCTATGGACTCTCTAGTTTTTAATTTTAAATCTGTAAAATTATATGGATATTTTGGGGGGGAAAGGAGAACAAATTGAAGATGTGTCAAGTGGTTTAATGACAAATATTTTTCATTTTCAAATATTAATCTGTCTGCGAACCCTATCAGAGATTGAAATCCAGACTGAATAATAACAAGGCCAGTAAAATCTCTAAAAACAAGTGATTTTAGTACTAATGAGGTTTATTGCTCTTGTCCTTTTAAGAGTTTATAGACCATTTGTCAGTGTTCCAAATCAAACCAATAATTAGAACACCTACAGTAACAATTTAATAATTGTTGACATTTAATGAAGACTTAATTGCCAGGAACTTTTCTAAAGCCCATCCCAATAATATGAAGACTCCAAGAAGTGGACTATATTTATGAATTGATGCTCACACAGATTGCACATTTCATATTTTATGATTCCTACATTAATGGTAAAGTATGAAAGTTGAGATTTTCTATAGTTTATATAATTCATTTGATATAATTAATTCCAAAGTATATAAAATAATGTCCAGGTATCTCTCCATGGACACCATAGGATATTACATCACTGAGTTTGTGGTCTGTGATAGACATGGTTTTCCATAAAAAACACAACAAAAAACGTATCAACCCAGTTATAAGAAAAACCAGGAAACAGATTCAATGGTAATTGTATGCTATTTAATTTCCCTGTCCTATTTCTTTTACATTTATTATTTTGATTTTTTTGAGGGTAAGTATAAATAAATCATTGCTGTTGGTTAGAAGTAAATGCCTACATCCTAGTATCATTGTGTTGGTGTGTAGAGGACTGTATATAGGAAAGGCAGGCTGACTTGAGAAATTGTGAATAAAGTAAAAGAAAAATGTTTGCAAGGTAAACATGCTGGTAAACCAATCATTTCTTAGAAAGTTAATTGGTGGATAACTTTGGATATAAAACTAAGAAATATATCCAAGAAATATTTCTATGATGGAAACTTCCATATTTACTGAAAGCTTTTATTTGGTACCTACTATATCATACTTGATTATGAACACCTTGGGTTTCTAGAAAATGATGTAAAATGTATTTTCTACTTCAGAGTTCATGGAGTTAATGTATAAAGGGCATTTTTCTGATTTTCCTTCCCATAGTTTTATTCCTTTACTTTCACACCAATCCCAAAGGGTTTTTGTTGTTGTTGTTTTCCACTTTGTTTGTTTGTAGGTATGTTTGTGTTACTGTTTTTATTATTCTTAACTTGATTCTACCGAGGTGTGCTACCAAGCCCAAACTAATTTTCTAGGCTGCATCCCGGAACTTCAAGGAACATCCTTGCTGTCCTTCATAGGTTTTAGCTTTTCACACTCATCAGTTTTTCACATTCAGTAATTTTTTTATTTGTAATAGTCACCATTTATCAAAGTATAAATTGATACATTATTTATTTAAAAGTCTCCCTTCCCCTCAGGATTAGAATTAAATAAACAAAAAGAGAGCTATAGAGACACAGCCCTATCATACTTACATGATTAGAAGGAAACCTTACTCTCTTTTTATCAGAATCAAAATGCAGAGAAAAGGGGATTAACGTTATATTAATCCACATAGCTTGATAAATATTTTTGTATGGGCAGGACTTGATAGGCTTAAAATAAAATATAGCTATATTTAATTATTTTAAAATGTGCTCTCTCTGATTTTCTGTCTGGACTCCTGAACATATCTTATGAGGGTTTCTATAATTAGGAAATATTTTGTGTTTATAAAACATCCATTCCAATATAATATAAAAACTCAACCTCATATACAATGCCAATAATTTACCCTCTCTTCAAATCCATTCTTTCGTTTAGTTCAGGAATCACCAGTGGCAAAGAGAAGCCTGGGTCAGTCTTCAACACCTCCTTTTCCTCTCCTCTCCTCTCGTTATTTTAGAGCCATGGCCCGGAGGATGGGAGAAAGGCGCTAGGGCTGCCTTATTTGCCTGGTGCAGTTGTCGTTATCTCTTCGGGTGATAGCCGCTGGCCATCCTGCCTGCTGCTGTTGCCCATATGCACGTGGCTGCTTTATTGCATTTATCGTATTTGCTTTTGACCCTCCACAGTGGCACAGTGCACCGTTCCCTGACACAAGGCCTGACCTCTCCCGATGATCTTGTGACCTCCCCCCGCCCTCACATTCCATTCTGTGGTTGTCTGCCACACACAGCTTACCGCTAACGTTCTTCCACACTGGTCAGGACTCCTAGTTTGGGGCCCTTGGCAAATTGACTCAGGCCATCTCTTGCCATGGAGCTCATTTGTTCCATAGAATGTCACGCATCCTAGTTCTGCCAGATGATAAAAGCGTAATTTATTCATATGACAACCAATCTCTTTATCCTGTGTTTGCAAGCTGGTATAGCTTGTATTTAGCCTTTGAATTTATTACTTGGTGAGACCCAGAATATGTCCCAATTTCCAGAGTACACATATCCTTCTGTCCCCAAAAGTCCCTCACTTCGTATGGTGGGCTAAATTATGCCCCCCTACTGTTAACTATGTTCTGATTCTCAGTCCTTATGAATGTGTTACTTATGTCACAGGAAGAACTTTGCATGTGTGCATAAGACCCTGAATGGGTAGGTTATCCTGCATTAGCAAGGTAGGCCCATGACTGCCAAGGTCTAGATAAGAGGGAAGCAGAAGGGCAGAGAAAGAGGGGGTGAGACAATGGAAGCAGAAGTCAGATCAGAGCGATGTGGGCAAGCAGCCTCTAGAAGCTGAGAAAGGCAAAGAATGATTTCCCCCCAGGGCCTGCAGAAGGAATGAGGCTCTAGCAATACTACGATTTTAGCCCTTATCATATTTTCGATCTCCAGGACTATATAAGATAATAAATTTGTGTTGCTGTAAACCACACATTTGTAGTAACTTGTTACAGCAATAACAGTCAGCAGAAACGCCATGCTGTATTCAAGAAGCTATGTGAAGTTGGTTCTATAATTTTGCAATCCAGCCATTTTATAATTCGAGACCGAGGTGCCTGGCTTTCCTTCTTGAAAACAATCTACAGAGGTACAGTTTGGGGAGTAGAGGAGAAAAGTCGCAGTAGCCTTGTGACATTCATCAGTGACTCTCCCTCTGGGTTTCTGATTTCCTCTTCAACAGTTTGATGGTGACAAAGATGAAGGTTCCCGTTCCATCTGTTCTGTCCCTTTGTAGTTCCTGCCTAGATGTGTGTAATACTTCTCAGTTTTCGAAGACATATGAATCAAGCTCCCAGCAGCAAATAAATGGCACACTTACTATTTTTCAAACAGTGTTTAATAATAGGACACTGACAAAAATAAAGAGAATCATAAAGGACAGTACAGTGCTCTGTATGTTTCCTTCAGAAACAAAAGGAAGAAGCATTTATTAGGAACCTGAGAAGAAACTTAATAGAGAGGCTGCCTTGAGCAGACTTGCCACCTTCCCCGGAGGTGGCCTTCCTCTCTCATGCCTTCTGTATCTGCCAGTGTCCCCCACTGGCCAAAACCACTCAGGAGCCAGAGAGCAAGAGCGTCCAGTGTGTTTCTGTGGGGTAGAAAGTTGGAGAATAATATATATATATTTTTAATTCTTACCCGAGGACATGCTTACTGATTTTTAGAGC